GGATGAGGCTTTGAGCAACCTGGTCTAGTGGGAGGTGTCCCTGCCCATAGCAGGGGGGTTGGAATTTGATGATCTTTAAGGTCCTTTCCAACCCAAACCATTCTATGATTCTGTGATTCTATGCATGTTGGATTTATACCTCAGTGATTCACTGATGGCCAAGTGTATGCATAGGAAGTACTTCTCTTGAGTTTATACGAAAGGGTCACTTGAGGTATGTATAGTTTCTCAAAGAAACCTGTGGTTTAGTTACGCTGAAAGTTAAAGAAAATAAAATAGAAACTGTAGCAACTGTGGAGGGGTTGGTTGGCATTGGTTTATTATTTTTATACCATAAAAATAATAGCTCTGAACTTTGACTCAGGGTTGTACTTAACCTGTGGAAAAAAAATCGTAAATCAAAACTCTGCATGGATCAAATAGGAACTGTTCTTGATACAGGCTGTCCCTCACAAGGTTAACTCCTGCCTCCAGTGCTGCTTAAAAACAGCTTTCATCCTGAGTAGCCTTCTACCTTCAGACTTGGAACTTTTTCCAAGAATCATCGATATGTATGCTGGTGACACTTGTTGGCTGCCTCCTTATCTCAGAAAACAAGCCCTTGGTCTGCTTTCTTATTTCAAAACACTGAAAAAGTTTTGTAGTAGATTTGAGGGTTGTCTTGGGGGTGGGGATGTTAATTTCTTTGACCACGGCTCTAATCCGGGGCAGAGTACACAGCGTTCCCATCCTCTGCTTTTTGCTGGCGATTCGGGATGGCTGGTGACTTGGGATGCACCAGACCCTCCTGTGTGCTGCAGTCCCTGCTGCTGTGGAAGTGGCAGCCGCATGCTGCAGCCTGCGGCGAAACACTGAAGTCAGGGTCGGGTTGGACTGATAACAGAATTCATCACTGAAAAGCTCTGTATCTTCACTAAGGTTAGTTGCTCTTTCGCCCCGCATACATACGAAAAAAAAAAAGGGGCTTTCTGTAGTTTCCTGCTGTGGGCATGCTAGTGCACGTGGGAGTTTGCAGCTGGAGGCTGCGCTTCCCAGCACGACTGTGCGCAAGACTGCCGTCATGCCGCGTTACGCAGCACCTGGGGAAAATCAGTGTTCATTTTCTCTATGGCATTTTTTGCATTTTCCTGGAATTTGTCTCGATGCTGGTTTTGTTGCTTTACCCAGTTCTGCTTTCTCATTTGTTCTTTTCCCTGGGGTTGTCAGAGCACTGAGGGATGATCCTGCAGATCCTCCAGCCCAGTGGTACCTTTGCTGTTCCACAGACTCCCGAGAAGCCTGTTGCAGCATGAGCCTGCTGCTGCCCTACTCCTGCCCGCTTCTGCTCGCCCACCTGAGGAGCATGACCATGTGTGTCCCCATGCCTGCTCTGCACCGTGGATGGGACACAGTGGTCCCACATGGGCCACCTTCCCTGAGTCTCCACTGGTTCTCTGTGTGGAGGTCAGTGCTGCTGTGCAGAAAGGGCACAGTGCTGGAGGGGGGCTGTACCGGTGCAGAGCACTGAAAGGAGTATTTCCAGTGTCACCTGGGATGCTTTTCTTTTTTACTTGTTCTACAGCATCAGTTTGTTCAGTGATTTTCAGAAATAAACACACATAATCACAAATGTTTCCTTTTGTTTTGCTTTCCTATATTCCTGATAGGAACAGTGTTCTCTGTAGGTGACCTACAGTGGATGTTCGTCTCCCATGCGATTTTGTTTTTCTCCTTGAGCCTTTCTATTGGTCTTCATGCGTACAAACTTGTGTGATCTTCAGGCTTACAAAGTGCAAGTGTTCAGGCTGTCTTCTAATGTGTCTGATGAATACTTTGGACAATGAGACCTAATATCTTGCTGTATTGCTAGTCAATGTAATTTGTCATGAATGAAAAGTATATAGGTGGTTTTAATGAAAAATAGCAAGAAATCAAAGCTACCATCTTCATAAGGCGTTGAGAATAGATTTGATGAAGCAGATTTGTGGTGAATTAGGGTTAGCTCTTTCCTGAATGTCCACAAGTGTGTGGATTTAAAATTTGAATATAAAATTGCAGTTGCGCTGGAGGATCCTGTTATTTTTTTGGAGTGCAGGTGTGGGGGGACATGTATTAAACCATGCTTGAACCCTAGCATGGGTCAGGGAGAGCTGTTCATGGAGATGGGTGTTTCAGCACATTGTATAAATGAAAACAATTGCACTTAGGCAGAATTTACTCACTTTCTTATTTTTGGCAGTACAAAGCCCTCTTGCCATTTACAGCAGACAGGCTATTTATTTGCTTTTTCTCCCAGCACTCATTAGCAAGATAGGGTAGAAGAGGCTTGGAATGTGGAGATAAGGGAGAGCCAGTGAGCCTACTGCTCCTGGAGGCCGTACTGGAGGATGCAATGCTAAACCTGCACAGCTCGGTCGGTGGGCAGGGGAACGGTACAAAATGTCCTGCTGCTGCGAGCGTGACCAGCACTCCCGACCTGCTCTCCGGAGGGGAGCTGCGCGAGTCATTGCTGCTGTCCGGCTGCACCGGAGAGGCTGTAAGGGCACTGTTCCGTCACGGCAGCTCTGCTTGGGGTATGTAGCAAGTTAAATTCTTCCCACAGGGATTTCAGCTGTGTTTCAGCAGGCTCTGCTCCTGTCCTCAACCTCAAAGCCTTTGCTATATGCGGCCCTGGCTCCATATCTCTGCAAGATGCTTTGAAACCTGGAGCACTTTCCAGAAGTGTTGCCTGTGCATGCTGACATCCAGTGTCTGTCCTGCCTTTCACCTCTCAGTGCTGACAGTCTCGTCCTTCTGGCAGGAGGCGACAAGGTCAGTCCTGTGGAGGCTGCCCCCTGGTCCCAGCTGAGCCGCTGCTTGCAGGCTACCCCTGGTGCTGAGAAGGGGCTATGGCTGCCCCTGGGAGTAGTTGTCCCCACCTAGCCGAGACAGAGATTGCCACGTGCATGGCAGGTGTGGGTATTTTAAGCCGCTACAGGGAGTTTAGCAGCCTGGGGTGGCTTATCCTCTGCCTTCCTGGCTGCTCTTATCTCCAGCTCCTTCCACAGCAGAATAGTCAAAACTAAAAATTGGATAGGGAATACAGACTAGTCACAGTTCATGCACTTTAATCTAAGGTTGCAGTGGCACAGCACATCTCCAAATCCAGGTCCAGGCTGCTTTTCTAGGATCTTCTGCATCAGAGCAATAATAACTGCTGTAACAACAAGCGTTTGTTCCTGGGTAATGGTGATAAAGGCTCTGCTATTCTCTGTGCCGACACGCTGGGCAGCCTTGCTGGGGCTGCGCTGCAGGACGTGGCTCCTAGACTGAGCAATGCACAGTCGTGTGGCTCCTGCACATTGGCCTCGTGGCTCAAGGTGCATTTTGCTGGCTGCTTCAGGGGATTCATGAAGCACAGGAGTGCTGGGGTCCTCACCACCTCGCTTAGCCAGACCCACCAAGCCCCATCGCCCGTGCTTACTCCTGCACCCTCCCGCTGCCCTTGGTCCTGGTGCCTGCAGGTTGACTGTGGCTGCACAGAGCAAACTAGACCGATGAAAAGTTGGTTTTCACCCTCTCAGCTCCCAGCTGGGAGAGGCTGGGGGCCTGTTCCTCCCATGAGGAAGGGACCATCTCCTGCGCTCCACCTGCTGAATGGCAAGTGTCAGGAATGTGAGTGATGCAGGAGTTGCCATCACACCAGTGGGAAACCGAACGTCTGACCAGATGACAGCTTTAAATTTAAGGGCTTGCTGTCAAGCCATGTGTGTGTTAATGTGCCCTTTTTGTGACCAAGCTAAAGATAATTTTTTCTATCTGGAACAGCAGCTACGTTGTAAGTTGTATAAAGAGACTTCTCTGCTAATGAAGAGCGATCATAAGAGCATGATCTGCCCTGAGAGGATGAGCAAAGCTGGAGAGATGTGACTCAGAACAGGGCTCTGATGCTCTGCAGAAGCTGCAAAGAGTCAATTTATGGAAACCCAAAAGGTGTTTGGCTCCTTGAAAAATGCACAGGCCTTGCTGTTATTTTAATGCAAGTGTCACTTGAGAGAAGAGCAAAAATTTTTTAAACTGTAGGAAAAGTAACTTTAAATTATCTAGAGGTCAATATGCTCTGCAAAAATTCAGCCAAAAAGATGTAAATATACGGACAGTGCTATGGAACAGAAGGAAACTTTCATCAAAAAAGCAGAGTTGAATACGCTCTTGTGTGTTGTGGTGATTGTATTTTTAACCCACCTGCATATTTTAAACAAGTTGTCCTTAACAGAAGGTCTACTACAGTCTTTTAGAGCTGGCAGAGGTTCAGTTACGTGCGTGTGATTCTGTATGGCATTTTATATTAGGAGACATGGGACAAACCCCTGGGTCAGCAGGGATTATCTAGATAGGTCATTTAGTACGTTACTCCCACTTCTCTTCTTGTTGGTTTAGATGTGCAGTGACACTCAGGTCAGCTGCTTAGTGTGCAGCAGTGCAAACACGTGTTGTCTCGGGGAAGGTGGGTCACTAAACAGCACGTTTAACTGGCAGCCTCCCGAACACGGGTGGATAATACTTCCTGATCTCCTTGTGGCTTTAGAACATGGGAAGGAGTGCTGCGCACTGTGGCCTTGTGCAGGTTTGCAGGGCTCAGAGGTACTCAGAGATGCTACAAATCTGTTTTCCCACATGGTGACAAGGTTCTCTGAAGTGCCATGTGCAGTTACTGGGGCTTGTAAGGGCACGAGAGCTACAGACTTTATGATTTGTGGTTCATTGTTCTTCAAGGAAATAAATGCCCAGGACACCTTGTTAACATCTAACAGAGCTTGGAGAAAGACGTCTCTGGCCAGGGTCCCACACAAAGTACTTCCTCAGTAAGTCCTTGATCAGTGTGCTGCCACAGTTGTGCTGCTCTCATGACCGTGGGCTGTTACTTGCGTGTAGGATATGGATGGGGGGGCCCTGGGCAATCTGACCTGGCTTTGAAGTCAGCCACTCTTTAAGCATAAATCTTCTGCAACTCTATGGTATTCAGCTTTCCCTGGCCAGCTGGGCTGCAGTGTCCTGTTTCATGTATTCAGTGTTAACGCTTCTTGTTTTCATTTCAGGTCCTATTGTGGCGTAAAAGTGAGATTCACGAGACTCTTGTAAGATGTCTTACAGAAAGGAGCTAGAAAAATACCGAGACCTGGATGAAGACAAGATTCTTGGAGCTCTGACAGAGGAGGAGCTCAGGAAGTTAGAGAATGAACTGGAAGAGCTAGATCCTGATGTAAGTAATTTTCACACAAGGTTTGCTCAGTGGTAAATCTCAGTAGTTGTTGGGGAATGGGCTGCACTGGTAAGCTGTGTTTAAGTCGGATCCTTTGCAGAGGCTGTGCTCAGTGCAAGGATGGAAGGGACTGGCTACAGATGAGCAGAAGCAGTTCTACCGTCGCAAGCACAGGCTGCACGTGGGACTTTGTTTCTGTGATATTCCCCTGCCCTTGCCCTGGCTGTGTGCTCTGGTGTGGTGTGCACTGTGATCTGCAGCACTGATGCTGGTGCGGGGCAGTAAACCTGCAGAAACTGAATCTCTGCTTCTCATCAGGCCACTTTGAATGGAATGTTTTGGGTTTTGTGGGTTGTTTGGGGTCTTTTTTTGTAGGAAACTTCAAACAATCTGTGTTTTTGTCCATTTAGGCAAAAATCCAAATCCCAGCATTTTGCAAAATGGGACAATTACTTTCTAGCAACCTCCCAACATCACCAGTAGCTGCGCCTATGCAAACACTGGGCCTGCTGGTGCCAAGCAGTGAAAGCTTTTTGGAGGCAATGTTGTCCTTTGGCCCCAGCAGGGGATGTGCAGAGCCAACTGGCAGGACTCTGAGTTACAGCAACGTTAGATGATGAAGCTGGGCACTGCCAAGTGAAAAATTGTTCCTGCAACATGCAGTTAGTGTTTCTGGGGAAAATGATGGGCAGTATAGATTGCAATGAAAAATACTGATGATGTAACACAGGAAAGTAATTAAGAGGTGGCAGGCTAGCTCCCAGGATTAAGCATATGGGCTGATGGGCTGGTTACAGCTGCCTCAGAAGACACAGAGTTGCGCAGCATTCTGTGAAAGAGGCAGAAAGGTAAAATAATTGCAAACATCTGTCAGTACAGGTGTAGCCTGAGTACAGGAGTTAAAGCCTGAAGATTGAACGGTCGCCTCTCACAGCGTGAAGCCTGAGGAAGCAAGCTGTTTCCTACGTCTCCCTGCTTGTGCATTAGCACAATTCTCCTCTGTTGCCCTCCAAGGTTGCCTGAGTCTAATTACTTCCTATTAGTCATTTTCCTTTCCAGGCTTTTCAGTGATACAGACTTAAGTTATAATGAATTACTTTTACTAGGTGGGCATGGAAAAGTCAGCATGTTGTTCAAAATCACCTTGGATGTCTTAAAAAGTAAATGTTGACTCCTATCCAGCAAAGCTTTAAAGAACATGCTTAGTGTCAAATCTGGGAATAGTCTTACTGCATTAAGGCTGTTCTATATTTAAGTATAAGCAGGTGCTTACATGCCATATGTGTCAGGCACAAAGCAACTTCCCATGGTGGCTAATGTGACTGAAAAAGGGCTGAGGTTTGCAGGGCTTTTGTTCTGTAATGGAAAGACCTTCTCTGAGAGACCTTGCCTGTAGTTTTGTGGTGGATCACAAAAAACAGAAGGGACCACCATGGCTGCTTTTTGAGAGATGACTGGATTTCCCTGAACTGATTCTTGTCAGGACACATGGGGCATGTGTGCACTCTGTCAAATGCATACAGGGAGGAGAAGATCAGTTGAGTTCAGCAGCTTGATTCTGCCACTGCCACTGTTGTGAAGAGGCAGCAGAAATGGTGATGGTGTAGAAGAGGCTAGGGGGACGAGGAAATGATGGCTGAGAGCCCCCAGAGAAAGGGCCGGAGCTGCTGTTGTAGAGAAACATCCACTTGGCAGCCTGGAGATCTTGCAATGGAGCCAGCATTTGAAATTGGAGGGGTGAAGGAGCATCACATATCCTACATGATGTGGGAATCAGTGGGGTGGATGAAGATAACCTTTGACACATGGAGAAGCAAATTGTTCAGCAGTGTGAAAGAAAGGCAGTGCCATGAGGAAAGTGGAAAGGGGAGAGTGTTGTGATGGATGGCAGTTGTGTCCTACAGAGATAACTCCTGTTTCTTCCCTCCATACCTAGAACGCATTGCTGCCAGCAGGGCTCAGGCAGCGGGATCAGACGCAAAAGCCACCAACCGGCCCGTTCAAAAGGGAGGAACTCATGGCCCACCTAGAAAAGCAGGCGAAGGACGTTAAAGACAGAGAAGACTTGGTTCCTTTCACAGGTGAAAAGAGAGGTATGGTCATCCTTTGCACCACGCTGAGTGCGTCATGATGAAGGCACAGTGGGTGCACAGGAGGCTTGTGTATGACCTGTGTTGCTAAGCACAACTTTATTTTGACACCATTGGCATGGTAGATCTGTTCTCTCTGCTGTCTATCCCCAGCCCAGGCTGGCTAATAAACTGAGGTGTGCCCAAGAGGTCCATGCGCTTGCTGATTTGGGCACCACTTGATATGTTGGTAAGTGATGGGCAGTGGCTGTACCACTGTGCAGCTTCTTTCTGTCCCCATCCTACTGCAGCTGTGTCAAGCTCTGGGGAGGACATAATCTTCTGCCTGCTCTTGTTCCTCCTCAGCCCTTTTCTCCTGTGAGTTCTGCAGGCTGTGCTCTGTCTTCCACCATTGCCTTTCATGCTCCATCCCTACACTCTGAACTTCATCTTGGTGTAGAGAGACTCTACAGCTCCCCTCAGCTATGATGATCCCAACAGTTCCCATGTAGTCTTCATCAGCTCTTGACAACCCCAGCCTCATTTCTTGTCTCCTGCAGCTTGCACGTTTCTCTCTTCCTGTACCATACCCTGCGGCAGTTGCTGCTGTACCCCTGCTCTGCATGTCCCTGGGGCTTGTGAGCCCGGGGTTTGCTTGCCTCTTTCCTCTTCTTCTGGCATCTTTTCCTGTTCTCCTGGGACATGCTCCACTATCTAAAGGACTTTGCTCCTCCCATTAGCACTCTGAATATCATCTGACATGGGACACAGTCTGGTCAGTCCTTGCCTCTGGGTTCCAGGAGCTTCTCAGCAGCTTTTTTCTGCTGCTGCGTCTCCCCCTGGACCATCGTCCCCCTGCAGCAGAAGTTCTGGTTCTACGCTGTTCACACGACTGGTTGCCCTATGTCAAAAAAGAAGTGCATGAAAATGTGGACCTGTGAACATGTTTCCCAATTAAGGTCTTTCTCAAAGTTCCCTCTTTACTGATCCACGTGCCTCTCTGAGAAAGAGTTTATGTTAAATCTGTCCATTTAATAAAACTTGAGGTGGTATTTTTAGGGAAAAAAAAAAAAAAAAGAAAAAGAGTTTAAAGAATTCTCCTTGAAAGAAGGAAATGAAATGAGTAAGTTGAGTACTATCAGGAAGAGCAATTTAGCAGCTTCAAGCATACCCCAGCCCAGCGTTGGCTACCGGCCTGGTTAGCCCAGCAGGTAGTGGCAGTGCTCCACAGGAGGGAGGCCCTTCAGGCATTCTGAGTCTTCAGCTTCTGGTCTGAGCTAATCATATTTCAGTCTGATGTGATCTCAAACACATTAAACATATTTTCACTTCTAACACACTGTTGAGTGAAGACGCTACTTACATCTACTGTGAGCCAGGGATGGTAAATTACATACTCACAGTTGTGGTGATTTATTTCCAGCTCTGCCACATTTGCACTTTGGAGGGTGATTTACAAGTTTGCCATGAGATGTGCTCTCCCTGGCCGTGCTGCTGAACGGGGCAGGACTTGGTGCGTACATACCTCCTGCATTATGATATATAATGCTGTGTTTGTTGCACCATTTAATTTAAAGTTCAAACTTCTATTAAAGCATGACTGAGATACAAAACTTTCTAAAATTAAAAACCAGAAGTTTTGATGACCCTGAGATGTCAAAAGGAGTTACTGTGTGACAGAGTTAAGTTTACCCTGTTTTCCCATATATTCTGCTGAACTGACCAGATGGAGTGTACACTTTGCTGAGCTGTGTGTCCAGGGGGACAGCGGGTCCGGGTCTCCGCACCGAGGCAGACCTGAGGGGGCCAGCCCTCCCCAGGCATTTTGCTGCAGAGTACCCAGAAGGTGCCTGGCCGTGAGGGTGCGCATGACGCTCTGCCTATTTTTGCAAGAGCAGCTGTGTCCCGGGGGGCAGATTCCTGCCCTCTTTGTCAGGGCAGCAGCGTGCAGGCAGAAGGGACGTATTGCAAAAAGCTGTTTATAGCAGCCTCCATTTCATACCGGGGGAGCCCAAAGTGCAGTCGCTTCTTCTTTGAGGCTAAATTTAGCTGCTGCTGTTTCTGCACATCCCTGAGCAGCAGGATCTTTGTGTCTCCCCTCTAGTGCCACTGACTCTGGTTTCAGAGGGGGGACAAAAATAGTCCTGGCTGGCATGCCAGGCTGAGAGCTTTGCACTCGCTATCTCTCTGCAGTGATCCTGGTCTATTTCAGGGGAGGGGACTACTCCAAAATCCTCTAGGATCCCTCCTCCTCCTCCATCGCGCAGCAGCGGTGGGTTTACCCAACAGACTGCTCCTGGCCATGGTGTGTTAAAACAGTGCAAGCCTCTCCCTTTTCTTTGGTGGCAGAGGCAGTGGCGGGCAGGTGCCCTGTTGTGAGATCTCAGACCTGGCCTGTCCAGGCTCTGCAAAGCAATCTGCCTGCCCGTTGGCGGTGGGAGCCATTGGGAGCTGGGAGTACCCGTGCGCTGCCATGAACCTTGTCCACTGCCCCACGCCTTGCTGGGACACAGACAGCTCTGGACAAGAAAGGGTTGTGGCTTACCCAGTGATTGTCCCAAGCAATGGGGTGGGGGAATGCGGGGAGCCCACAGCGTTCAGAGCTGGGCTGGAGCTGTGTCACTCGCTGCACAGAACCTTGTCCACGTGGGCAGCCCCTGTGAGGAAAGGCCACAAGTGAGCAGCTGAGATGGCAGCTTTGCATTACCAGCTTCACCTGTTGCTTTGCACCTCTGACTTGTAGGGAAGAGACCTGTTCCTTTGTGTGTTGCCATCTCGGGAGATAGAGCATGGCAGTCTCCATCTGCCATGCGCCCTGGGTCTCTCCTCCTTGCCCTTCTGTCCTGTGCAGCCTCTGAGACAAACCAGCCGCCCCAAGCCTTCTCCTCCTTGCATCCCCTGTGCTTGCTAGACAACCACCCACTATCCCTGCCTGCTGGCAGACCCCCTCCACCACCTCCTTTCCAACCTCTTTTGAGTAACATGCCATCTGCCGTGCCACTGTGCATTTGGGACTAGCAGCAGGAGCTGCCTCAGTGGCAGGACCGATCGATCCTGCATGGTGCTGCGTCTGGGCCACTGGCCTTTCTTGGTCCACGTGTGTGCTGGCAAATCTCCATCCCTCTTATGCAGCGTTCAAAGAACTGAAGTCCTGCAGGGGCAGGCTGTGCATGGCTTTCTGAGTGCTGTGCATTAAACCGTGATCGACCTGTGCAAATGTACTGTTGGGCTTTTGTAGATGCAGCCCTCTGTGCTGGTGAAAGAGTCCAGCTCTAGAGTTGGAGGTGTCTGGCAGGTGCCTCCAAGCTCACATTGCAGCAGGAGTCAGACTGAGCTTAATGGGAAGGGATTCAGTGTCTCCTTTGATTTTTCCCTAGGTCCTTGTGCCCCTTCTCTCCTTTCCACTGTGCAGATCTCACCCCACAGAAATGCATCTGGATGGCTAGTTGTGAAACAGGTGCTATAGCTATACCAAGAGTGACCTCACTTTGCATTTACAGGAAAAGCTTGGATCCCCAAGCAGAAGCCAATGGATCCTGTTTTGGAAAGTGTGACTCTGGAGCCGGAACTGGAGGAAGCCCTTGCTAATGCCTCTGATGCAGAGCTCTGTGACATTGCTGGTAAAATAGTTTCACAGGAATTGGGGGTTCAAGTTCTTTGACTACTAGTTTATTTTTGTTTGTTCTTTTGCAAGAAATGACCTATTGAGCTTTTTGCTGTTTATCTGGATGCTGTCAGTTTTGACAGGATTTATTTCTTTGTTAAAAAAAGTGAGGAGGGAGAAGGGCTTATCAAGGGAAAAGAGTGTGCTATTTGATATCTTCTCCCACCTATGCTGCTAAATCTTGCAAATTACAGCCTGTCACCTTCAGGAGCACAGCTTTCTTCAAGCCAGACCTCTAGGAAACAATCAAGCCAAGTCAGTGAGAATGTGGATTTCTTGTGCAACCTATTAAAAGAGCTGTCAGGTTAGAGCAGTCTTTCAATGGATGCTAAGGTCTAGTGTTTGTTAAAGAACTTTTCCAACACATTTTAAAGCTATGTATTTTCTTGCGATTTTTGTGGGTGGTCGGTTTTGTGAGTGTTAGCTCAGGGGTGGGGTAATCCAGCATTAAAAGTTTGGTGTACTTTATGATGACTGAGAAGCAGGCTGGAATGCATAGCAAGCTGGAGAGGGGACAGAGCAGGTGCAGGTGCTGTTTGAGCCTCGACAGCGTGCTCTTCACCAGGCTAAACAAGCGCTGTGCAAATCCAGGACAGGTGCAGTCTCTGTCTGGGGGGTTTATTCCTCCATGGTAGGTTAGTTCAAGCAGTGTCCCATTGCTGCTTTTCAGGCAGTGTTGTCTGAGCGGAGGCGGACCCCTGCAAACCTCCTTGCTCTGCCACTTTAGAGTTTACAATACCAGTATCATGCTGAAACCAGTAACGTGGACTTAGCTCTATGGCTGGGATAGGACATGCCTGCACTAAAGGAGTGTATGAACACCCTCTTAGTGATTTACCGAGCTCGCATGTTCCCAGCTGGTCTAGCAAGTCGATGAATATTTCAGTGCTGCTGGCTGCTTTTTTCCATAGTGTCTCCTCCAGACTTCCATACTCCCTAGCAGTGTCCTCCTTGCCAGAATTCTGTAAGAACCCTGTAGAATAACCACACCAACTAGACATCTCCTACATAATAATATCATATTCTGGCTTAGAAATGTGTTTCTGCATTAAGGCTTCCAACATACGCACCCTGGCTAAGGACTGAGTCTCTGGATTTTGCTTTTTTATTGTCCTATAGAGCCCTATCCTATAAAATCTGCCTTTCTGAGCTCCAGATCTGTGCAACAATTTTTCACAGATAAGTGCTGCTGTTTGGGGCAGCTAATTCTGCAACTGTTGGGAGAATACGCTTGAGGTGGCAGCAGGGGAATACACTTGAGGTGATTGAAGCTGTGCTGAAATCTCAATATTGACAGTGACAGCGTTGCTTTTCCAAGTTTGCTAAGGCTGTGAAACAGCTCCTGCCTGTTTAGCAGGGCTCGTTGTCAGCCATGGTGTGTTGGATCCCTTCCTTAGCAAGGCTGGTAGGATAGCTCGTGTGCATTGCTCCCAACAAGTTCAGGAAAGGGTCCCGTGCCTGTGGCCAGCTTGGGGAGGCAGAAATGAGATGCCTTCATTCTGCTTGAGTTCCTTTGGACAATACACACTAAGCACCAGACTTGCAGACCGCGAGGCCCTGTTGTCTACCAGCACAAACTCTAGTCCCAAAAGCCCCTCATGGTCATAACAGCAAATCCTTCCCTCTGTGTGCACTCCAGATATTCACAGTCCTGGCTGAAGGAGAAATTTTGTTGTCAGAGTAAGCTGTGTTTGGAGTGTATGTGTGTCCCCAAAATGCTGAGCCTGCATCGAGCTGTGTTGCACTCCTGAAAGTTTCAGCTGTGAGTACATGGCAGAGAAGAGGGCCAGCTAAAGTACAAACAAGCAAACTCGAAGTGCTCAACCTTACTCAGACTTTCAGACGGAGACTGCTTGGTTCTGTGCAATCCAACCGGGAATGTGCTGGGGGAGTGGGGGGAAGTGGACAGTGGTGTTCGTTGAGGCCCTTTGTTGCAGGCTGTCCTGCCTGTGCAACCCAGACTTGGGGCCAGAGTGAGCTGTCACTGTGACAGGTGTCATTCATGTGATGGGCCACAGGGAGAGCATTTTTCTGCAGCTCCCAGCCCTTCTTGGCCAAAGCACCGAGCAAATGGTGCCAAGCACACATAAGAGGAGCAGCAAATGGGAAAGCAGAGTGCCTTTAGAGGTGGCATGCTTGAATTTTAGGGAGAGATTGGTCCTCTATGTATTACAACCACTGTGCAAATTTGGAGGTCAAGATTTGTTCAAATGTGTCTGTTTATAACAAGTGTTTATGTGTCTGCATTTTAATGTAGAAAGTCATATAGTTATTTGAAAAAAAATTTAAAAACCAGTTTCTTTTCAAACATGAACTTTCTGTGAGTAGCAGAAACAGAATTTATAAACAGAATCTTTGCCCAAAAGTTTCTAAGCCGTTGGCTTCCCACTGCTCATTTGCAGCTGGCAAGAATGTCAGCAGACCACCCTGGGCACGTTTCAACGTGCATTTGCTTATTGGGTTTGCAGTCATGAGCCTGAGATACACAAATTGGCAGAAGTTTGGCTTTTGGGCTCTTACAGTCTTTGAATTTTGTTCATACCATCACTTTGTACATTTTGACCAAGCCAGCAGAGCTTTAGCTTCTCACTGTGTCAACTTCCACATGTACAAAGATCAATTCAACACATACCACTACCACCACCCATGCTTGTTGTTGAGTAAAAACATGACCTCGTACATTGCTGCCTGAGAGGTGGGTTTGGTTCTGCATGGGGCACAGCTCATCTCAAAAACTGGACTGTCAGTGTGTGGCACATGCCCAGGTGAGCAAGGGTGATGAGGATGTGCAGGCTCCTGCTGGACTGGACCCATCCTACCAATGGCAATTTTTTTTGTCTTTTATTGTCTCACTATGTTTGCACAATACTGAGTCAAGCCAGCTACTGGGAAGCCTTGGCTGTTTGTTGTTTGCAAGACGATGTTCCTCTTTTCCTATGAGTCATGCTACATTGGAATAAACAAGGGAGTGCACTTGAGCCCTGTTGTGTATTTATGACAGCTGGGGGCTTGGTCCCATCTTTGTATGTTGTTCTGTGCTTGCACAGGGAAAAGTAATGCGCTACAGACCCCCATCCCAGGCAGCACTGCACGTGTGCATCTTTTCCTGGCTTTAGAGCCTGCATTAACTCAAGTCATGTTCTCCTTTTCTGTTTCTGTAGCCATCCTTGGCATGCACACCTTGATGAGTAACCAGCAGTACTATGAGGCACTGGGGAGCAGCACGATTGTGAACAAAGAAGGGCTCAACAGTAAGTGATTTAGAGTGTTAGCAGTCTGCAGTGCTTGGCTTTGAAGCTACTAGCAGAGGCAAAGTGGGAATTATTTTTAGGCTGAATGTTGGAGTTGTCAGAGCAGCCTGTGGTTGCTGGGGCCATCTCTGGTGCATCCTGACCCTGTGCGAGCCAGCACAGTCTCAGCTGCTGCCCCGGTGCCATCCAGGAGCTCGCACAGCCCAGGGAACAGCCCCACGCAGGCAGCATGTCCTCCATCACCCAGTTTTGGACCATGAGAGCAGCTAACAGCAGACACCAGCTGTCCTGTGCTGGTTGTCCCCAGTGCCAGGCAGTGTTTCTGGATGCATGTGAGCATAGGTGGAGCTGACAAATGCTTGTTCAGTCTCTCATGTTGTGTCTGTTTTCCAGGTCATGCTTCCCTCTCCCAGTACTGCTTCTGGAAGAGGAGAAACACACCCAAAGAGAACATGTTGCTGCTCCAGGAGCTTCTGGTTTACATGTCTTACTTCTTTTCACTTGCAGGTGTGATTAAGCCCACACAGTACAAACCAGTTCCTGATGAGGAACCGAACTCAACGAATGTGGAGGAAACTCTGAAAAGAATACAAAGCAATGATCCTGACCTTGAGGAAGTCAACCTTAACAATATTATGGTATTTTCACCTTCCTACTCTCCTCTCTTAATAACAGGACCAAACATTTGATACACAGAAAGCAGAGACCATGTCTGTTTTACTGCACAGAGTAGTACCATAACACTGCACATAGCCAGACGAGAAACACCAGTGCTTCCCATCTCCTTTTTGGGCAACGGGGGTAGCAGGAGGACTGCTGTAGGTGCCTTGAAGAGCTGAGCTGTGTTGAGGGCAGTTTGGGAGATCAGTCCTCAGCCTGCCTGCTTAAAGGTGTTTTAGGTTGCTTTAATGATTTAGTCACGCACATTTGCTGGAGGGGCTGTTGATGGAAGATGAAATGGTGGGAGGGAAAAGGCTTCATAATGCTGATACTTGCCATGAAAATATAAAGAAACCTTCCTTCTTGCAGGTAGCCCTGTTCATCTCCCACCCATCCCTTCTGCGGGACTCCTTTACTTCCTGTAGAAAGCAAACCAGACACAGCACCACTTCTTATGTTGCCTCTCGGACACATACACATACTAAAAAACACAGTTTCCATCTGTCCCTTCTTGACTCCAGGACTCCCATCCCATGGGGTTTGTTGAATGGTGACATACTCAGATAATGGGAATATGGTTAACTGCACGTGCACAGGAGAAACACTTGTGCCATGCCACCTGCACATTTCTATAATTAAATTATTTTTACTTTCATGTTTGATTCTGGCTAGTGACTCTGAACATCCCTTGAGGACACTAGGCTGAGGATCTGGAAGGCAGGCACTATTTTTGTGTTGGACTCATGACTGTGGGACACAGTCTGGAGAACTGGGGAGTGGCAGTGGAGATGGTAGGCTGGTGGGTTCTGTGTTATGGCTCTTCAGGTAGCTTTGACCACAGATGATTCCCCATGGTGCAATCCAAATGGTGTGACAAGAAGTCTGAGCTGAGGATACTGCTTAAAATTTTAGACAGATGGAAACCTGTGCATCTGAAAAGGGTATAATTGAAAGTGCCTGATAAGTGATAAATACTCATTTAGTAGGAACTCAGAATAAGCAGCATGGATTTATTTTCTGGGCTGAGACCTACCACAGTAAATGTTAGCCTAAAAGATGTTGTGTAAAGCAGTCAGAGCTGTCTGTGGCTTGTTCTACAAGGAGATCATTTCAGATCTTTCTGCATCAGGACCTGTAGGTGGAAATTTTCCTGAACATGATATGAATGTTGCTCAGTGCTGTCATTCATATTAAAAAGTGCAGGAGCAGTGCTGTGTAGGCTCATAGATCCTAGTTACATACATCGTCACAATGCCTGCGTTCCTAAGTAGCTGAGTTTCTAGGCAATTAAATTAAACAGCAGAGACAGTGTAGCTTCCAATCAAGGGAGTGGGCAGTCAGCAGAGTGGGAAATAGGGTGAAGACATTGCCGAGCTCCTTAGGCCACGGTGATTATAGCAAGAGAACTTGTAAGAACATTTACTGACCCCTTCCTAAGTCACACCAGTGCATTTGGTGATTTGACCTTGGTAAGAAATCTGAAGTATTGTTTAAATGTATTTTATATTCCTTCATACAGATTATGGGATAACACAGGTTTTCTGCATTTCTTTTCACAGAATATTCCCATACCAACTTTAAAAGCTTTTGCGGAAGCACTGAAAAATAACACCTATGTGAAGAAGTTCAGTATAGTTGGGACACAGAGCAATGATCCTGTTGCTTTTGTAAGTACTGTCGGCTCACTCTCATAAAGTTGTGACAAGACCTGTTCTTGGGCAAGGTATTTTCATAGTTACTGACTGACTGCTTTTGCACCTTATGTCACATTTGCTCTTGCGTTTGGTGCAGGTGCTTCAGTTTCAGGAGTGCTAGTGAAAGGCAGCGACAGACAGGCTTCAGTTTCTTTGCTTCATTTTTCATCTGCGGAGATTTCAGGACACAATCCTTTAATCCCATTTGGTCTCATATCATCTTCAGGGATCTCCTGGAAAAGGAACAGAAGACAAGAACTGAATTCTTAGTGGCACTTTGTAAAAACAGTTTATATCTCTCAGTTTATCCTACATCAGGGCCAGTCCATTTGTTTCTGTTGGTACAAAGCCTTATGCTGCTGTGCGCACACCTGTCCCTCCCCTTGCACACGTCTGCTCCGGCTCTTTCATGTATTCCTCTGTGCAGAAGCATTACTTTGCATGTTTTATGCGTAGCCTCTGTGGGTGATAAAGGGTCTTTCTGGCTGCTGCGAGCGGTCTTAAATATCGGTGGGGATGCAGAGAGGTGCTGAGCAGTTCTGCCGGGCCCTTGTGCTGCCTTCGGGCTGCATTCTTGCACACTCCTCCAGTTCTTCTTCACCCAGGCCACCCCTGCCTACCTCCACACACATGTGTGCACACCACCTCCAAAAAGGAGAGTGAGTACAGCCCTCACATTACTACAGGCCCTCTGGACTAGGGAAGAAGCCTCTGCAGGCAGGACCGGCGCTGTCTGAGGGCCTGTGGGGCACTGTGCAGGGCTAAGGGAGCTGCAGAGTCCAGTGCTGGGTGAGTGGACGCAGGTCAACCCTGCCGCTTGGGCAGCACTTTCTGGTCCTTCTGCTTCATGACGTAGACAGGTCATCCCAAAGCAAAAGTGATTAATACGGTTGTGATGCCACCTGGGAGGATGCCTTGGATGTGGAGAATCCCTTGGTGTTCAAGACAGACGCTCCTCTCTCTGCCTGCTGTGACTGGAAGCATCTCAGCACTGCGCAGAAGGAGCAGTGCCAGCAGGGAGCCGATGAGGCAGGCAGCAGGGCCAGCATCCCTGCCATCACCATGCTGGCTTTAGAAGAGGGACAGATGAATCTGTCATGGGGCAGCCACAGGTGTGGACTGTCGCCTTTGGGGTGGCCCTAAAGGTCTCTCCCTACGAGGTTTTGCCATGGCCTCCAGCATGCTCATGTGCAAGAATCCCCATGCAACAGGGAAGAGCCCCCCTTCACCCTGCACAGAGCTCTCCCATCTGGTGGCAGTGAAACTGCTCGGCAAGTGGCATCCTCCTGGTGTCCTCTGGAGGTGAGGGACATTGAACCCTGCTGCTCTGGGGTGCTCTGCCCCTGCCTGTCTGACTGACAGCTCTTCTGCCCACCTCTGCCCGCAGGCACTGGCAGAAATGCTGAAGGTTAATAACACACTGAAGAGCCTGAACGTGGAATCAAACTTCATTTCTGGGTCAGGGGTGCTGGCTGTTGTTGAAGCGCTCCAGGGTAACACATCACTCATAGAGCTGCGCATCGACAACCAGGTAAAGTGTGCGTGAGCGGGAGCTCTGATGAGGTGAACATGTCTTGGTTGCAGGAAATTGAGTGGCTGGTCAAGGTGGCAGCCCGGCGCCACTGCCAGGCTGCTTTGGAGAGGTTTCAGCCCCTTGTTTCTGCTGCAGTTCCTGGGCAGTGTCTGGTACTGCTGCAGCAATTAACAAAGGCTGTGGCAGTGCAAGCAGCATTCCATGTTCCTGGGGTTGCCCTGGAGAGCAGTGATGCACCCGTCCAATATCACACCTTGCTCCAAGCTCTTGTGGAGACTTAAATTCTATTCAGTAAAACCAACATTTGTACTACAAGGCAAGGGAAAGAGAAGGAGAGCTCCAGCATGTGTGGCTGTACAGATGCCGTGGCAAGTTTAGGTCCACCAGAAAGCCAGGGGTAGTAGTGAAGCAACTGAGCTATGGGGAGCTCAGGGACAGGGGACTGGGAGTGCAAAATATCCAGACATCTCTTAGATGCAAATCTGTCCAAGATATAAAGTCTTAGGGCAAGGGGACTTTTGGGAATATCTGGTGGAGGAGGTAGAGCCGCTCAGTTGTACCAGGAACAGGCCAGCAGTTTGTTTCACCAGCTCCAATTCAGAAATGCCAAATGGACAGGTCCAGAGGGAAGGGGTGGAGATGGCATATCTAAGTGCTCGCTCTGAAGCACCGTCTGACCTTACCAGCTTGCTTTTCTGTTTTCTGTTTTCAAAAGAGCCAGCCCTTGGGCAACAAAGTAGAAATGGAAATCGCAAACATGCTGGAAAAAAACACCTCCCTGCTGAAGTTCGGGTACCATTTCACTCAGCAAGGTCCCCGGCTCCGTGCCTCCAATGCCATGATGAATAACAATGACCTGGGTAAGTCGGGCTGGCTGCAAGCCAGGGAGCACTGGAAGGTCCCTCCCTTTGCCTGTGGTCAATTCCCAGTGGTAGAAGGGCAGAACTGCTTACTTGAAGGCTCCAGTGGATGTGCTTGAATTCGAAACCACCTCTTGAAGGGCCTGATGATGCCTTGCCCCTTGAGGAATGCAGCCTTCATGGACCGGTTCCCGAATACAGCTGCTGTCAGCCAGGCAATGAGTTGTGCTCCAAACCTGGAGACACTGGGCAGCTAAAACTCCCAGAAGAGGCGGTGTTTTTGGCAGCAACAGTGGGTCTTATTGGGAAGGAGTGAGAGCTGCTAATGTGCTTCGATACAGCACGTGATACAGCATATGGCGCATGGGTTGTGAGCTGCCAGCACTTGTGATTCCTGCCAACTGCTTGTCTTCTTCCAGCTTCATTCCCAGTTTAACAAGGAGATGAAAAGTAGTAGAGTTGAACTTTGAAGGAAGTGGGACTTGGCTCACCCCCTTCAGCAAAACAAATTGGAAGTGTTTCTAGGGAGAGGTGGGAAGCCACATGGCTTTGAGTTATCTTTATACCCTAAATGAAGTGATCAGAAGTGCTTGTGAAGTAAAATGTGGGCAAGCCTGCAAACTGCCATTTCAGCCAATGCATGTGGCACAGGCTTTCCATTGCTTGGCTACAAGCTGCTGTAGAGCACTGGAAATCAGTCCAGCAGAGTAGTATTGAATGCAGCCAACACACCAGCCACGCTGTTCTCAGTAGCTCCTACCTGCATTGGCAGGGTGTTTACAAACGTGACAGCGCCAAACTGCTTGGCAGCAGCAGCAAGTATAGCTGGGAGGAATAAGCAACAGTTTGCAGATATTCCTTTTTGTAAATTAGAAAGAACCCATTCCCTGGGAGGGTGGGTGTTTCTGCAAGACTTGGAGGGACAGAGCTAGCGGCTGCCCTGGCCCACTGCTAGGCAGAGCCCTGCTGTGAGTGGGAGGCTGGGCTGGAGGCTCCCAGGGACACCTTCTCCACCACTGCTGGGTTCTGCCAGGCACAGCTAGAAAGCAAAGGCTAGCAGGCAGGGTCTGAGAAAAGACCTAACATATAAGTGCCAGCTGTGAAAAAGTGGTGGAAAATGGGAACCACCTATGACAATCTGCATATGGTTCACCACAGACAGGGTCTCTGTCCCTTCATGAATCAACTTCAGGTTTAAGAGCCACAGAAAAACAACTTTAGGTGGCTGCCGTATTTATACAGATGATACATATATTGTGTTTTAAAAATTTAAAAAATATTAAAAAACCAGTCTTGTTTCAGCCGATACCATTCTCCTAGGAAGCACACCCAAGCATAGAGGTATGTGCCAGTTCTTCAGTGACCACACAGAATACTCAATATTACGGTTTGATGCATATTTATTCTGTCTGCAGCTGCATTCCTGGTCACTAGAGTGCTGCAGCAGGAAAGGCCTGCTATTTTCTGTCCTCTAGAACAGAGCAAGGGTTTTAATGGCTGTGTAGTACCTGGCATACAAAGTAATCAGCTGGAAGATTTGGATCTAGTATTTTAATTGTTCCTGCTGTAAGGGGAGGAATTCACAACTTGTCTTCCATTAACAGTTGTGCATGTTGCCTTTTTGACCATTAAGATCCTTGTTTTTGTCTGATTTGGTTCTTGTTTGCAGCTTGTATTCATCAGTGTCATGGTGCCTGGCAGTAGCGTCTCAGCTCTACACCTGGACAACATATAAGTATAGAAAAACTTTATTTTCCTCCCTGTCAGCAATAGTTCTCTGCTTGTGCTTCACTCCAGTGCTCTTGCCTACCATCACGTGATGCTACCAGAACTTGGTTTTGGTCCCATAGCTTCTGTTCTCCAAGATGCTCTATATGAACCAGCTATGAAGGCTTTTACTTTCATCCTCATGAGCTAACTTCTGCATCCTATTTATACCTTTCTTCTCTCGCATAAATTTCTTGAAAAGTCATGAGTGTAGCCATTAGAGCTGTAAATCAACTTTAAAAGTAGATACGAGACTGCTTTGACCATGTTAACCATGATCAGAGGGCTGGTGGCTAAAGGCTTAAGATAAGAAATGAGCTAGGGTTGGTGTTTTTTTAATTTGAAGGGCCATTTAGAAAAACTAGCAAAGAAAAACTGTTACATCGGTCTCCTGCTGTCTTTACATCAGTCAGCATCAGATGATGCTTTGCAAAGATTAGAAAGACAAACTGTGAAATATAACTGACTGTAGAATAAGGGAGGAAAGGCTGAAAGTAGCTTCTGGCCTTAAAATTTCATAAGGAGAGAAACCTCATCTTACCTTCCTTGATTTTAAACTGCGTAAGGCTGTGCCTGCTGCTTAAAAGCAGGAATTCAGAAGCTGATGCTATCCTGTTTCTTTCCTGGCAGACATGTCTCAGGTGCTTTCCACACCAGGTAAGCCAAACCTGCCATCCACTTCTTCCTGTTGCCGTGACTGACTCCTCTTCCTCTTCTTTTTCAGTGAGGAAGAGAAGACTTGCGGAGTTGAACGGGCCTATTTTTCCCAAGTGCAGAACAGGAGTGTAGTTCCTGGCTATGGAGGTCATTCATGGTGGTCTGTGCTACACTGTGGAAATCTAAAGGCAATAAGTGCCTTGACAGAGTATTTGTGGTGCCTCGGTTCTGTTTTATGCACTAACAGTTTAAATTAACTAGTGGCTGTAGTTGAAGATTTTATCCAGTAGGACTGTTGATGTTTTCTATAGAGTTGGAAACTATTCAAGCCAATTTTATGCAATCTCAGTTTGGAATACATCCCAGCGTAAAAGTGACTCTTAATTAACCTGGGACCTAAATTTTTCTATAAACTTCCTGCATGGTGTTTCATACAGTTAGGATGTGGTACGCATGAGTGAAATATACAACTGTTCCACAAAAATTATAGAAGTATTAAAAAAATACTTTATTTTTTTTTTCCAAATTGATCTCAAGTAACTATAGAGGAGCAACTAGTTTAACAAGCACTTCTACCTGGAAACATGGCTAATTTCAAGAATTGTGAATTACAATTTTTTTACTCACATTTGCTGAGTCAACCAGATGGAGATGCTGTTTCAAATGCATCCGTGTGTTTCTTAGAAAAAACTTGATCCCCACCCCTTGATTAAAGGGAACTTAAGGCCACCAATTATAAAACAGTCTCAAAAATTGAGTTTAGAATGGGTTAATATCCTTCTATCCTACGCATGCCTGAAGAAAACCATGACCTTTAGAGATGTGATGCAAATCCTAGCCCCACAGAGATGGCCAAACTAACCAGCAGGCGGGAGTCTTCCTCTTTTCTAATCCCCACTCTTTCAGTTTCCTAATATTAAAAGTGTGTGTCCAGATATTCACTGGAAACAAGTCATATTATTTCTTTTTGCTGTTTTGTCTAGATTCTGTTCTGCTAGGGATTTTTTCTTTTATTGCCATCCCTAATGTCTGCATAAATGCAACAATAAATGGTGTGTCCTAGAAAAGCTGTTAAGTGAAATACCCTAACCCTGAACTTATACTGCATACAGTCTGACAGTTTTTTGCCAGACAGTCTACCAGGCTAGACCCAGACATGCAGTGGATTGGACACAGCACTATCCCCTCCAAAACTCCTATTAATGTGCGTGGGATCCTGCTCAGTAGGAAGAGCCTCCTGGGAGAAGCATCGCCATACTGAAGCCTTATTCTTGGCCTGATGATGACACATCCTAGAAAATGTTCTCACTTGATAGAAATCTGTGTGTACAAATCTGTTAAGAGTGAAGTTTTGCAGCCTTTTACACATATTCCAGCAAAAGTCCCACAGATTTCTTTAGAGCTTGTGCACAAATACCACAGATGATTTAGCTCTGACCAAGAAAGCAGAAAACCACTATACTTTCAGCAATGTGGGAAGCACATTCGTTGCTCTTCAAATCTTAATAAATGCACCAGTGGTGTTTAAATAAAATGCTTCACTGTATCTTCCCCCTTACCCTGCAAGTTCCATATCAGAAAATGAAAAGAATACAGAAGAAAAATATGTGAAAAACATACTGAAAAAAAATAAAAGAAACTGGCAGCCTCTTTCTTCCACAAGCATTGCAAAGACTTCAAAATGGTCAACTAAATCATCAAACTAGACCCAGAGTTTCAGCTGAGCCATCCACTCGGATTTGCATGGTACAGGCTTAGCTCTTCCACTGGCTTCAGAAAAATATAGATTTATCTTACCCTGGGAAATCCTGCTGGCACTAAGAAAGCCGGACATGCAAGGAGATAGATGCATTGCAAATTAGTGAGCACTACCATAGATACAACAACAGCATTTTTCCTGAATGAAAAAAATAGCCCTTAAAAAAAAAGGGGGGGGGGTGCGGGGAGGGGAAGCAAGAACGTTGTCTGATATTTCACTGTTGCAGCATCCAAATTAAGCACACAGCCCAAACGTACATTAAGCTGGCGGGATCCTCAGTTAATCCTCACAGAGCTGCTTTGCTGAAAGATGCATGTGAGAGCTAAGAGCTGTGCATCAGAGACAGGCTGTGCTGAGGCATCAGGCTTCATGGTGAAAGGCATTGAGCTGTGCAGTGATGGAGCTACAAAACAGTGATGTTTAGGAGTAAATGGATCACTGTCCCAGCAGCCCTCCAGGAAAAGCAGAAAAAAGCCATCTGCTGACAGCAGCATCTGGCAGTCACAGACAATCTTGCTTAACTCACCTCTCCTCAAGCTAATGTGGCTTCTCTCAGGCATTACCACTGAAGTGCCTGGATCCCAGCACGCAGCATTTGACATGGCAAATTCTTATTTATATTAATCTGACAAAACTAATCCAGAAGCCAGGATACAGAAGCTGACCATGAGCTAACGTTCAAGAAGGAGGCTAAGGATGTCTCTTATCCCCCTCTCTGCAGCAGAGAGAATCTGGCTTTATGGGCCTCCGTCTCAAACGCTTCTCCTCCTTTGCCTTAGTGTAGCAAGGACCAGAAGAGGCCCCATGGCTCTTCTCTGCCTTTGAGGTAGAATTTCCAGCTGCCAGGACCTCTCAGGAGAATTGTGCCTTGTAGCCAGGTCTACTACATGGCAGACAATTAGCTACGTTTCAGCATTTACCTCTGCAGAACTAAGCACCTCCAATATAAAGGTGAAGTGTATTTGTGCAGTACTTCAAAAATTATAATGGAAGCGCTAAAGGTTATTTATCATCATAGGAGTTTCAGAAGGTTACATATAAAATATAGTTGTTGCCATTCTGTACTGATAAGTGATCTAGAAACAGCCTTCCAAACAGATTACAGTGTTCCAGACTTGTTGATAGACTGAATTATAAATCTTTGTTCTTTTTAGCCTAACACATGAAGAAAAAAGACAGCAATATGAAGTTGGGGCACCCCCATTAGTGCTCTAGACCAGGCCTGCAAGTAGAGCTTCCACGTTTTTCCCAGTCCTCAAAAGCACAGAGGTTAACTGGCCAGCAAAGCTCAGGAAGCAAGATGCCAGGGGACCATGGGTACTGCTTAGACTTCTACTGAAGATCTCTACTGATGGGAATTTTCCAATTTCTTCTCCAGTATGGACCGTGCACAGATTTACTATCAAGTATCATCCTAGAAAGATTGCCAAAGGAGACATTCCTAAGTTTCAAAGTTTTGCTTCATGAAAGCAACTGTTGATTTTACAGTAGCGATACTGGAAGTAAAAGAAATACTTGCCATTGCTTTGATGGAACCAATGCCCCCATCTTTAAGTTGCTAATCAAGCCAACAACGAGGCCTTGCTGAATTCATAGCACTGTGGGAGAGTTGCAATCTAACATTGCCCTAACTGTCATTAAGCAACTGCAGAAACCTGAGTAAACTGTTTTCTTGCTTTTAAAAGCAGTTGCCAGTAAAAATCCCCAAGAAACCAGTAAGTGATTTTGATTTCCTAATGACTAATTACTATTTGGTACCAAGAACGACTATAAGTTCCAAAGACATTTTTCAGTCAAGACACATGACACATCTTCTACGCTATTAATAAAACCCTTCTGTACATTCTACAGCATCAGGCACACAAAGCAGCAGGCGGAGAAGTATTTTGAGCTCATGTGCTGTGGATCCGTTCAAATTCAAAGGCAATTTCTCCACTAATAGGAGCTAGAAATCACATAAATATCTCCCAGCTTTTCAAAAATTCAACCCATGTTTACAAAGGACAAATACTCCCCAAATCTTGAATTATTTAACTTGGATAAAGGATCTTGCAATCTCCTTAAAGCTATTGCGGACATTTATGCACACGTCAGCATCACTCCCAGTGCCATAATGCTGGTATTTTGACAGTCTTTGTGTTCCCCTCTCTGTGTGTCTCAGTTTCAACATGCTTCAAGCTGTCGGTTTTTTCTAGTGCAAGCAGATCTTAGCCCTGGATATTTCATGTACTGGTAAATTGAGGGAAACAACAGTTCCCAGGGAGACAGAGCACTGGGATGAGGATTACTTTTGCTGTTCATCCTACAGGTCACACACAAGGAGTATGGCTGGGCAGACGGTATCTGTGGGCCTTTGCTCCAGTTACAAGGGGTGTCCTTACACTGCCTTCAGCCAGTTTTACACAGAAGTCAAGTCAGTGATTTCAGGTGACTGCTCCTTGCTTCTCACTGGTATAAAGCAAGAGATGCAGGCAGATGGCGTGTATGTGGAAAATATCTTCAGCTCTAATCCAGTCATGTACCCACACCCAACTGATACATCTGCTGCTTTCACACCCTACCACTAGCTATTGAAGCAAATGCATTATCAATGGAGAGGTCAGACAGATCCATCTCCACGCAGAAGGAAAAAAATTGAATTGTTCTTATGTCCCTTCAATCTTTTTTGAATTGTGAGCAGCTGTGTCCTATCACACATCGCACTCTGCTCCAAAATTCCCATGGTAGAGGCCATGTCACAAGACTGTTCCGCGGGAAAGGAATCCTGCAGTGCTGGTGATGGGTTGGGCACTCTGGTAATTTACAGTCAAGTAATAGATGGTTTTCAGGGCGTACTCTAAGCTTAAAGGTAGCGTATGAACAAGACTTTCTGAACCAACAGGTTTTCATAATTTCCAAACCTAACTGAATAACAGATAGGGATCTGGTTATAGAAGCCCTTCACATTAGCACAGGTGTCAGATGAGCTAATGAAAAAGGTTAATCTTTTCCTGCGTTCAACATTCTTTGCAAGAGACGTTCAATAGGTACCCTTGGCCGTCTCCTTGTACATTCACACTCCTCCTTAAGTGTCTGTCCTGAAGCCCTCGAAGTCACCTTGAGCTCTTTCTCTTGACAAACAGGACAGCAAGCTGTAAGACCTTTGTTGCGACAACTTGGACATGTCAGGACAAGCTGCCGGCAGTGCTGGCTGGAACAAAGTTTATACTGATCCCACAGTGTCCCACAGTATCTGCATGCTGGAGAGAGGAGGAAAAGAAAAAGTTAACACCCACTTTCCCCATATGTTCCCCTTGCAGAGGGTCCTCCATGACACCAGGGGGCTACAACCTTTCATTTAAGTGGCTTTCGGGTTTTTAATTCCTGCTTTATCTTGATCTTCTAGAACCTAGTTAATTTTTAAACTTCTGATTTTGATGTAAAAAACTTAGGACAGCTGTCTCGCAGGACATGGAAAAAGTGCTCACTAATGCTTCCTCTAGTTACAGTCACACAGATTTAAAGATTCTTGCTGCCAAGTGAAGAAGAAAGATATGGGCTGGTAGTAATTAAGCCACTATGCAGGAATGTTGCCTGCTGGGGAAGGGGGTGCCATGGGATTTCTTTCCACCTAAAAACAATGGCTTGTGCAGATGTGGTATCATTGTAGTCCTAGTAGAGTCCTTCTACAACATCAGACAGGTTTTAACCCTTTAACTGAAAGTTACATCCCCGTTTAGCTGTACCATCAAGAAGCTGCCTACTCCAGTACTTCCCCTTGAAACTTCTGTAGGGATGGCTGTGATGTATCCAGAGTGTGTTCTGTTTCTACACCAAGCCAGGCACCTTCAAGATGGATATGGTAATTGCAGAGC